TTATTATTAGCTAACCTTTAAGCCCATTGCTGCTTTGTTTAGAAACTGCAGGCTCACAGTATCTCTGCCTTTCAGGTAGGATGTCACAGTTGCCAATACTGAACAATCAATAAGATGAACATGTTGCTGGACAGTACCATACTACTTCAATGTCACACCCGCAGAACCCAACAACAACTGACATGGCCTACACTCTGCATCTTATTTAATTGAATGGCCATGTCTGAAAGTCTTTAGTTGAGAGAAAGGGGTGAGCTATAGCCTGTCTGGGGCTGTCGTCACAGTCAGTCAAAGCCATCCTCTGCCCTCAGTCCAGGGGATTGGCCACAGGGCAATTACAGGAGCCACTGACCATATTGCTTGACCTGACTTTCCAAGGCAGCCACCATCCATGGGGGCAGAGCCAGCACTGCTCTTCAAGCCGTCAATCCAGGTAATGACGTAGCTCCTGCTGCTGTTACTCCTGTGATTGTCAGTGCATTTAGACAAACCTATTAATGGCCAGCACCACAGGTTCGCCTTGGTCTCCAGCAGCCCCCTGAGTGCCAGCGACCTGTGGCTTCTCTCTCTCGGCCAGCTGCAGAGATGTGCCAGTGATGTGCTCCTGAGTCTAATCTAGATTAAGCGGCTATCGAGATGCAAGAAGGTGCAGGAGTAAGTCTTGCCAATGCCTCCTCTGGGGAATCTTGGAATCTGGTGCTTCTTGCTTAGAGGGAAGAGGGGTGGGCAGCCTTAGGGAACTGGCCTCTCTACAGGATCTGTGGGGGCTGCTGGTGCTCTCTCTGCAAAAGACAAGAGAGAGGAAACTAGCTACACAATAGGAGATGGAGATTAAGCTTGTTAAAAATACACTTACAGTGGTGGTAATGGGAGAGCTGTGAAGTACAATGAATCTTATATGGACACCTGGACATGGAGATCTGAGCATCCTGATCTGAACAGTCTCCAGCCTCTGCCATGAGTTCTTTGAATGGAGGTAGAGCAGATGACTGTTAGTGAACTCAGTGCCTGCTTTTGTCCTCCGTGACCTATTGTGAGCCTGCTTTGTCTGCACGCAAAAGGAGAGACTGACTGAGGTGAAATTGGCTGGAAGATCTGAGGTAGTGGGAAAGCAAGGAAGGCCATGGGTGAGTGAGAGAGAGAGAGAAAGAGAGACAGAGAGGTTAGAAGTCTGTGGGGATGGACTGAGTGATAGCCATTAAGGGAAGATGCTGCATTCAGCAGTAGAATGGCACACACTATGAATCTTGCTGGGATATGTGTGTGTAGTGACAGACTGTAAAGTAGCAGTGAGCTAGCAGCACTTAGCCTAGTGGAGCACAAGAAGTCATTAATCTTCTTGTGGCCTTGGTGTGTGTTCCTCCAGAATGTGGACACCACACTGACGTTGGTGACTCTCTCTCACCAGGCTGGCAGCATCTGGTGCAAGATCTCATCTGGCAGTCCTGAGGGAACAGGATAGTTCTCCTTCCCACCATCCTGTTCGCCAGGATCTCCTGGTCCCTGTTGGCAAAGTGGGCCGCCAACTTCTTCCTGGCCAATTCCTTACATCCCGTAATGCATGGAGGCTCCTTAAGGGGAGTTGGGGGAGACACAACATAACAGAGGGTTGACACGCCATTGGAAAAAGGCACTGGCTGCTTAAAGAGGTCATCGATTTGCCAGTTAAGTGGCTCAGTTAGCCTCTGGTAGGAAAGGCCATCCTCCATCCTCTGTGATGTTGGTAAAATGGCATTGAATCAGGAAGACACCTCCTTCATCTCTCCCCTACTGTAGTACACTCTGTGCCATTGCCTCCCAACGTACTTCCAGAGGGTTGGAAAATCCAACTCATCAAAACCTCAGGAAGAAACAAAAGTCTTTCCAATGTGGATCTAAATGGAACCAACACTGTTCAGTTCAGAGTAACTACGCTCAGAGATTTATCTCTTTGCAATGTGTTCACACCATAAATGAGATTTACTTGAGATTCAAAGATGTTAGTATCTTAAACCCCCACTCATAAAATGAAATGTTCAGTGAGCACTGCTATCTTTTAGCACAAGCTTATCATCTCAACAAAATCCTTCATTGATGAATATTTAATTCTGTCATATATTTTTCAATGAACAGCTACAAGTTCTCACTATAAATGAATCACTAAAATACAACAGTAGGTAAAATATGAATCTGAATGCTTTTTTTTCTACAGAAGGCTGTGTCACCAGAGAAATGCTCTGGGGTACAATCCTGATTTCATGTAGCAGTGAAACCCCCCTAATGTGTAGTGCATTACATCACCTACACATTGTGGATACACAAATTGTAACTGTTTTTCTATTCTGTCATAGGAATATGGGCATCACTGGCTAGGCCAGAACTTATCACCTATCTCTATTTGTCCATAAACTGAGTGAATTGCCAGACCATATCAGAAGGCAGTTAGCCATTCAACCAATTGCTGAGAGTCTGGAGTCACATGTAGGCCAGACCAGGTGGGGATGGCAGAATTAGAAATAGCCTTTACTGTCACATATACTCAGTGAGTAATGCGAAAAGTTTATACATTGCCGCTTACAATGCCAATTTAGGTGCAAAGGTACCTAGGTCCAGCTTCTTTAGTTACAAGATCTTAGAGACAATAGAGAAATAAACAGATTTCCTTCCCTGAAGGACATTAATGATCCAGGTGGGTTTTTTCAACAATTGCTGCTGATAGTATCCAGGTTCCCTGTGGGTGAGACTGGCTTTCAATTCCGGATTAAAGAATTTAATTTAATCCCCACTATCCACTGTTTTGGGATTATGTCATGATATCAATGGACAATAGCAAGATGTAATAAATATCTAGTGGAAGAAGATTCAAGGATGATCTACTTGAAATGTTTCAGATATTTAAAGGATTGCACAGTGTAGATTTCATTGTTACAGAGCTAGCTCAGTTTTTTCACTCTCCCAGGATTAAATCCTGGTTCTCCCTTCCTAGTGACATTGACAGTGTACCCCTTCTACATGAATAAAAGAGAATCAAGATGCTCATCACCATCATGTCCAGGGCAATCTGGGATAGGCAACAAATGATGACCTAGCCAGTGATGCCCACATCCCATGCAAGAATAAAGAAATCAATACGGGGAGAAGTAATGGACCAAATCTTCCATCAGAAATCCTATTTTCGATCTTGATCTTCTGATTTTTCTGACAGACCTCCTGATAGAGGATTCTTCATAACTGATGTTGTGCAGCACAAAGGATCCGTGCAGAAGCTGCATTTTTCTTTTACAGCAGTAACTATATTCCAACAAAAAGCTTAATGGCCCAAAGCTTCTTTGAAAAAGCGATGGAGAGCAAATATTTGTGTAAGTTAGAAGTATCAGGGCATAAAATGGATGACTTAAGTGAGTAAGGGGCTAGGTCAGTAGGTTATTTGTGCAGCAGGGTTGAGGGTGGGCAGTACAGCAGGGGTTGAGGTGGTTGGTAGAGGAGGTGGGTAAATGAATGAGGTGAGCAGGTGGTTGAAGAGTGTGAGTCAAGCTGTATAGGGTGGCAGGTTGGTGATGTGGTAGGTAAGTGAAATGGATGGATTGCGTCAGGGTGGCAGACAAGTCAGGCCAGATGGGGAGGGGAGATGAGAGGTTGAATTGGGGTCTAGGCAGGTTAGTCAGCTTGGGCAAGGATGGATCAAGGGATTTTGTTGTTCAGGGGTACAGCTGGTGGTAGTCCAGTAGTTAGACTAGGTTTCCTCCTGTCTGATATTTCCTGGGTACAATCCAGGTAAGGAAGTCAGAATTATCTAGTGTCTCTGAGTCTAATTCAGGAGTCATAGAATCCCATCAAGTCCACACCAAACTTCTGAAGGGCATACCACCCAGATCCAAAACCCCCTACCATGTCCCTGTAACTCTGTATTTCTCATGCCACTCCCATTTAGCCTGTACACCCCTGACATTATGGCCAATCCACCTAACGTGCACATCTTTGGACTGTGGGAGGAAACCAGAGCACCCAGCAGAAACCCACACAGACATGGAGAGAACCTGCAACTCCATATAGACAATCGCCCAAGGGTAGAATCGAACCTGTGCCCCTGGTGCTGTGAGGCAGCAGTGCTAACCACTTAGCCAGCATGCTGTCCTATTCAAATCATGCCTTCGATCCAGGATTGAACATTCTGGGGGTATCTTTTGGGCTACTTGTCCCAACCTCCCTGATCTCACCCTCTAGTACCAATGATCTACTGAGTCAACAACCTAACAACTTCTCAGAATCACAGAACTGTTACGATGTTGAAGAAGGCCATTCAGCCCATTGTGACTTCACCAGCTTTCTGAGCATTTTGACCCAGTGCCAATTCTGTACCTTTTAATTATAACTGTACACATTGTTTCCATTTAAGTAATCATTTAATACCACTCGTGAATGCCTCAATGAAACTGCCATTGATCACAATTCCAGACTTTGCATTTCAGACCCTAACCACTAATAAGTTCTTAATAAGTTATTTTTTTCCTCATTACATATTTGCTTCCTTTGCAAAACATTCTGAATCCTTACCAGCTGGTTCTTAATTATCTTATAAAAGTAGGAAAGGTTTCTCCCCCATATAGACCACTCAAGATTTGAAAACTTCTACCAGGTCCCCCGTAGTTTTATCCTCTCCAAGGGAAACAGTTCCAACTTCTACTATCTATCCTCATAACTTGAGTTTCGTTTCCCTGGAACCACTTGTGTAAACCTCTCGTGCACTTTCTCCTGAAACATGATGCTTAAAAATTTACAGCTGAAGTCTAACTGGTGTCTAATGCAAATTCAGCATAATCTCTCTGCTCTGTACAGTATGTCCCTACTTATAAAACCTGTTTGCTTTATTGACAGCTCTCTCTACCTGTCTTGTCACAATTAATGGTTATGCACATATATACAGGTCTCTCTGTGTAGTACTACTACCCTCTGGTTTATCCTGCCTCTCCATGTTGTTTGGCCCTAAATGTACACTTCTCCACTTGAACTTAACTATCTACCCACCCATTCCACTAACTTGTCCTTGTCTTTTTGCAGCTCTACTCTGTCTTCCTCTCATTTTACAATGCTCCCAAGTGTTCTGTCATCACAAACAATGCAATTGTCTCTGCGCACCAAGATCTAAAACATCGACCAGGAAAAGTAACAGTCTCAATACCAGTCCCTGGGGAATTCCATGACAAACCTTCCTCCATTTTGAAAAGTACCCATTAACCATTATTCTCTGCTTTCTGTCCCATGGCCAATTTTGTAACCACATTGCTATTAGGTGGCATACTGGCTCAGTGATTAGCACTGCTGCCTCACAAAGCCAGGGACCCAGGTTCAATTTCAGCCTCGGGTGACCATCGGTGTGGAGTTTGCGTGTCTCCCTGTGCCTGGGTGGGTGTTCGCCAGGCGCTCTGGTTTCCTCCCAAAGTCCAAAGATGTACGAGTTGGTTAGGTTGGCTATGAGAAATTACCCATAGTGTCCAGGGATGTGCAGGCTTAGGTGGGTTAGCCATGAGAAATGCAGGGATAGGATAAGAGGGTTGGTTTGGGTGGGATGCTCTTTGGAGGGTCAGTGTGGACTTGATGGGCTGAATGGCCTGCTTCCACACTGTAGGGGTTCTATGATTGCTGTCCCTTCTGTTCCATGAACTATATCATTCCTAACAAGTCTGTCACGTACAGCTGTATCAAATACCTTCTGAAAGTCTGTATACACCAACATCAACTGCATTTCTCTCATCGACCCTCCTTAACCTTCCCAATACCTCTTCAAGTAAAATCCAGCTAGTTCGTTGTACACAGTTTTCCCTGAACAAATCCAGGCTGTCTTCTCTGATTTAACCATAATTTTCCGTGTGACTCTCAACCTATTCAGTAATTGTTTCTAGACGCTTCCCTGGGCTTATCTTTACTTTACTCTTCATCCTTATTCTAAATCAAACAAAGTGACTGACTCTGGGAATGCGTTTTGGAAACCAGAATGCTGGCCAATTCTGTGTGCTCAGGTCTGGCACAATGGAATCTGAAAATCCTGCTGGGTTTATTTATTTCACGTAATTCTTCGCACCAAAGTTTATCATTGTAAAATTGGAAGCGCAGTTTTGGACTCACTCATATGTGGCCATGAACGCTGGGCCACAGATGTAACGATGCCCCCCTGTAGAGCTGTGATTCTCAATGCATTTCACTGTGGAGATGTGTTGCTATCAAGCCAGGTGCTTCCCCATAAAGAAGGAGAGGAAGGCAGCATATAAATAATTCAGTTCTCTGCAATTTCTGGAGTGCACAGCTTAAGAACGGCAGAGGCTGTGAAGGATGACTACCATCTTGTCTTAAGAGGCGAGTGACTAGAACAGGATTAAGAGCGCATCAAATCCTACAATAATGTATGTTATTTATGTTACTGTTGCTCCAGTGACTGTCAGTAATATTACGCAAGTATATGAATGAGGAGCAGGACATTTAGCCCCTCAAACCTGCACTACTATTCAGTAAGATCATGGCTGATCCAAACATGGTTTCAACTCCGCTTTCCAGCCCACTCATGATACCCTTTGACTCCCAGGTTAGTCAAGAATCTGCCTTAAAAGTACTGAACGACTCAGAGTCCAGTGCTCTTTTGAAGAAGAGTGTCAGGGGAAAATGTTCAAATTATGCTGAACTATAATAAAAATAGAAAATGCGAGTGAAACTCAGAAGATCTGACAGTATCTGTGGAGACAGAAACAGGGTTAATGTATTGAGTCCAATGACTGTGTATTCAAGTGAGATCTAAGCTCAAAGAATACAAGTTCCAAAAACTCACAGGTACAAATTTCCCTTTGGATAATTCCTCCCACACCCCCTCCCGCCTAACTCCATCGCAACTTCTAATCCCACCTCTGTTGTAAAAATAGCAAAGAAAGTTCCAGAGAAGAACCTTTCAACTCAGAACATTAACACCAACTCTCTCTTTCTCTCTCTCCAGGGAGGCTGCCAGACCTGCTGAGTTTCTCCAGCACCTTATGTTTTTATTTCAGATCTCCAGCAATGGGAACAGTTTCATTTCATGCAGAAATGTCCTAATTAGCTTAAAATGCATAAGACAAAAGGCACTGAATTATCAGTAACCTCCTACCTGGCTCTGTCAACATGGTGTATGGTCAGAAGAAAAAGAAAAGCAGCCTACATGCTCTCAGGATAACCCCCAATGTTACAGCCAAAGTAATAATTTTGAAGCTCAGTCACCTTACATATTGTACCACATACTCGATTATAGAAAGAGTCTGGTGAATTTGTAATGGGGAATAGAGGAATAACAGATAAGTTAAATTATTACTTTGTTTCTGTTTTGGATGAATGGATTAATGATTGGCTAACAGACAGAAATTAGAGAGCAGGAAAATGGGCCATTCTCATGTTGGCAGGCTGTGACTAGTGTACCACAAGGATCAGTACTTGGGTTCCAGCTGTTAATAATAAATATCAATGATTTGGAGGTGGGGACCAAATTTAATATTTCCAATTTGCAGATTACAAAGTGGGAATGAGTAGTATGATGAAGATGTAAAGCAACATTCGAAAAATTTTCACAGGCATGGTGAACGGCAGGTGGAATACCATGTGGAAAAAATGAGAGGTTACCCACTTTGGTAGGAGGAAAAAATGTCCAGAGCATTTCTTAAAATGGTAAGGAGTTGGAAAGTTTTATGTACAGAGGGATATAGCTGCCCTTGTCAATAAGTCACTAAATGCTAACATACAATCTCATGGAACTGTAGTCTTTAATGCAAGAGAATTTGAGTACAAGGATAATGAAGTCTTGCTTCACTATATAGGAATTTGGTTAGGCCACACCTTGAATACTGTGGTTTTTGTCTCCTTACTTTTCTTATTATTCATTCAAGGATTGTGTGTATAGAGAGAGAGTCAGCCTCATTGCTGGGTCTGAGCCAGACCAGGAATGGACAGCTATTGCCTTCCCTAAAGGACATTAGTAAATCAGGTGTGTCTTTGCTGCAATCAACAATTGTTTCATGGTCATCATTAGACTCTTACTTCCAGATTTTTACTGGATTCAAATTGCACCATCTTCTGTGTTCCCCAGAACAATTCCCAGATCTCCAGATTACAAGCTTAGCAACAATACTATGCAGCTATGGCCTCCCAAGGAAGGTATTATTGTTATAGATGGACCAAGGTTCAGCAGACTTGCTCCTGGGATGGTGGGACTGTTCAATGAAGACAGACTGGGTAAATTGGGCTTGTAATCTCTCAGGTTTAAGAGAAAGAGAGGCGTTCTCACTGAAACAGGATAGGGAATGTAGAACAGGGGGCACACTTTAAAAATAAGGGGCTGCCAGATCAGTTCGAGATGAGGAGAAATTGTTATTACTCAGAGGTTGTGCACCTTTCAAATTATCTATTGCAGAGAACTGTGGAAGATCAGTCTCTGAGTATGTTTAAGTTAGAAATCGATAGATTTTTGATTACCAATGGTGTACAGATTTGTGGGGGGCGATGGTAAGATATTCAATTATGCTGAAGGGCAGGGCAGGCTCAAGGGGCTGAATGGCTTACTTTTGTTCCCCTTCAGTTCCTCCACTACCAATGTCAGTAATAACAATGCGTACTATCTACAAGATGCAGTAATTCACCAAGACTCCTGAGAAAGCACTCTAAACCTATGTCCACTACCATCTTGAAGGACAAGGACAGCAGAATCATGGAAACACCAGCATCTGTAAGTTCCCCTCCAAGCCACTCACCATCCTGATTTGGAAATATATCACTGTTCCTTCAGTGCCACAGGGTCAAAATCCCGGAACTCCATCCCTAAGAGCATTGTGGGTCTACCTACACCAAATGGACTGCAGAGGGTTCAAGAAGGCAGCTTACCAACGCCAAGATAGTAAGAACTGCTGATGCTGGAGTCAAAGATAACACAGTGTGGAGCTGGAGGAACACAGCAGGCCAGGCAGCATCAGAGGAGCAGGAAAGCTGACATTTGGGGTTGGGACCCTCCTTCAGAAAAAGTTTTCTGAAACTCAAACCCTGTGGTCCCATTTCATAGAGAATGAGAAAAAAACACTTTATTCCTTCTGTTCTTCTGGGATACAGTAAGTTACATTATTAAACATTATTCAATTATATTCCTGTATTCTTTGTTGGAAACTACCTGTGGTGTAAAATATTCATCCCTTTTGAGCTATTAGATGCTGTGATGCAATAAAGCGGCACTCTCTCCACAGTAAATTCGATAATCATCTGAGACGCTGCTCCCAGATTAAGGGTAGATTTTGTTCTATTTTACATGATCTTCAGTGTGTTGATGCACAAGATATGGAAACAATTAACTGTAATTTTAATAATGTACAGTTTCTTGCAAATCTGTGCACTGGTGCTGTGACCAGAAGAAATTCTGTTTCCAGATGGGTTGTTCAACACATGTAGATTTTCTGCTGCACTTATTTCCCTCTTAGCCACCCTCTTTCTTTCACGCCTCTTGCTTTCTCATTCTTACCATCCTGTTGAATTTCTACAGAACAGCAGATTTGACATTCAGACAAGATTAATGAACTCTTGAACACATTATTATTTAAAAACATGAAAGCAAAGGAAGTAGGAGCAGGATAGATTGTTGTATTCACAGAGTCACAGAGATGTACAGCATGAAAACAGATCCTTTGGTCCAACTCGACTAGATATTCTTCATTAACATTGAATCCCTACAGTGTGAGGACAGGCCCTCTGGCCCAATAAGTCCACACTGACCTTCAGAGCATCCCATCCAGACCCATCCCTCTAACCTACACATTCCTGGACACTATGGGCAATTTAGCACAATCAATCTGCCTAGTGTGCACATCTTTGGACTGTGGGAGGAAACTGGAGCACCCAGAGGAAACCCAGACATGGGGAGAATGTACAAACTCCAGACAGACAGTTGCCCAAGAGTGGAATCAAACCTGGGACCCTGGTGCTGTGAGGCAGCAGTGCTAACCTTTGAGCCACTGTGCCGCCCATTTGCCAGCATTTGGCCCATATCCCTCTAAACCCTTCTTATTCATATTCTTCCTCTTCATCCAGATGCCTTTTAAATGTTATAGTTGTAGCAGCCTCCACCACTTCCTCTGGCAGCTCATTCCAGACACTTACCACCCTCCGCATGAAAAAGTTACCCCTTAGGTCCCTTTTAAATCTTTCCCCTTTCACCTTAAACCTATGCACTCTAGTTTTGGAATCCCCCACCCTGGGGAAAAGACCTTGGCTATTCACCCTATCCATGCCCCTCATGATTTTGATAAACTTCTATAAGGTCGCCCTTCAGCCTTCTGGGAAAATAGCCCCAGCCTATTCAGCCTCTCCCTCCAGCTCAAACTCTCCAACCCTAGCAGCATCCTTGCAAGTCTTTTCTGAACCCATTCAAGTTTCCTTCCTATAGCAGGGAGACGAGAATTGAACACTGTATTCCAAAGTGGCCTTTTCAATGGCCTGTTCAGCCACAACATGACCTCCCAACTCCTATACTCAACGCACTGACCAATCAAGGCAAGCACACCAAACATCTTCTTCACTACCCTGTCTACCTGCGACTTCACTTTCAAGGAACTATGAACCTGCACTCCAAGCTCTCTTTGTTCAGCAACACTTGCCATTAAGTGTATAAGTCCTGCCCTGATTTGCTTTTCCAAAATGCAGCACCTCACATTTATCTAAATTAAACTCCATCTGGCACTCCTCGGCGCATTTGCCCATCTGATCAAGATCCTGTTGTACTCTGAGGTAACCTTCTTTGCTGTCCACTACACCTCCAATTTTGGTGTCATCTGCAAACCTACTAACGATTCCTCCTATGTTTACATCCAAATCATTTATATAAATGACAAAAAAATCAGTGGACTCTTGTATTCTTATGCTAGTTTACTTCACAGCAGAATTACCATTCATTCTGGATTTGTAAGGGTTGTACGTTGAGCTTACTTGAAAATTTCTGAGGTTTAGCATCTGAATCAGACTGATAACATACAGTTAGAGAGCAAATCAGTCCAGCATTCTGCAACTTGGGTTCCTCTGGCTGCTGGTCATGTGGTGTGATCCCAGCCTGTAGTTCATCCACATACTCAACTCTTAAAGCAGTAATACAACAAATAACTTACAGGCCCTTGAGTCAGTTCCATTATTTAGCACAATCACAGCAAATCTGCTTCAATCCCACCCTCTGGCTTGTTCTCCATTTTGCTTTGTTATCTGAGAGACAAAAGAAGGCCCATCTCACTCCTAAATGCATGCAAAGATGGCACATCCACAAAACTCTGAGGTACAGAATTCCAAAGATTCACAGTTCTTTGAGTGAAGAAATTTCTCCTCCTTTTCATTCTAAATGATCGATGCCTTAACCTGAGGGAGCACCTTCCAGGAATAACAACTTCCAGCATCAAACATTGCATATGATCAGACCCATAACTGCTGACACACTGAACAGCAAAGTAGCTTTCTGAAGCAAATCTATTTTTTTTATCTAATAAATCTGCAGTTAAGCTTCAAAAAGCCAATTTGAAGTGGTCCTTGCAAACTTCCCTTTTGTTTCTGCCCCAATTTCATACCCATGTTTCCTGACTTTATTCCTCTCCCGATAATCCTCTCTCACTGACATGAACATTTTGCAAGTGTTTGTGACATTCTACATCAAAACCTACTGTAAATGTGTTGCTTTAATTCATAAATGTTCAAAGCTGGATTTTCCAAATTTGCGTTGGTGATTTGAGCCTATCGCCAATTCAGGATTGCTTGGCCGCAATCTTAAAATTATACTCATGGAATGTGCCACATAATATGGCAAATGAGTTTGCACTGGCTGTGAATGATATAGACATATAGGGTTACATTTTCTCCCATTTCAAAATGCAGATATAAGCATGGAACTGGGAGCATGTGCTGAAAGCAATGTAGTTTACTTTGCAGGGAAAACTCTACATCAATATACCTGACTTTGCAATCATAATCATTGAAAGGAAACAACACTGAAGGACGCCTTTTGGCCCATCATGTCTCTGCCTGCCCATCATAAGCAGAATTCAACCAAACCATTCCCTGCCTTTCCCCGTAGTCCTGTTTTGCCTTCACATTTTTAATCAAAAGCTTTTTGAAAGCCAAGATTGGATCTGCTGCCCCCACACTCTCACACTCTCCTCATTTGTGCCTCTGGTTCATTCTCTCATCACCTTGTGTCGCTGTCCTCTAAACTCAACTTACCAACACTAAGCTAGAATTCACAGCTACATTTTCTTCAAAGCCTCCCCGATTTGCAACATCTCTCCTTATCTTCAAAAGCTACCTCAAACAAGTATTTGATCACCTCCCACGGACTCATCTGCTGTTTCTATTTAGTATTCAGAACTCATCCTGTCAGCCCATTTATGAAATATATTGGGTCCCCCATTGAGTCCTGCCCAATGACCTCGTACATCATTGTCATTTTTCACAAGACCTGATTGCAATTATTCCAATTTCTTTATTATCTTTTACAAAGCCTTAGCCTATTTCTTGTTTCATTCCACTCCACATCTGAAGCAAAATTCTAGCACTAAAATTAAAACTCTGTTTAAAATTAAAACTGCACTATTACTAACTCCTTTTTCCTTCTTCCACCTTCTCATATCTGCACTCAATCACAGAACCTTAATCGGTCACAACTTCCTACCTTTGCTCCCGACTTGTAAAACCATATTCTTCTATCATGTTGTTCTACACCACCCATAAATCTTACCCCAATCTCTTCTCCCCAACTCCCCAATGTGTGCAATGTCTTGGACCTTTTGTGTAAGTATAGATACCAATTAGCTGCGATCAAAGTGCATCAGGGAACAAGCTCGAGGAACTATTCCTGTTCCTATGCTGTGATTCCAGCACATTTCTGGAAATTAGTTGACTCTGCTCAGTGGTTGCTGTGTTCATGTAATATTAATTGATCCAAATAGCTTGTCATTTACCAGCCTTGTCTCCGTACATAAATACATAATGTGAATATTATGCCTTACATTAGTTATTCAGCTGCTGCAGTCCAAGGATTACTGCAGCAGTATCACAGAACTTCCATCGTAGTGATTGTGTACAAGGTCCTGAACAACACAGAAAGGTCACCTATTGTAAAGAC